GGGGGGGAAAGGCACCTGAGGTTAATAACCAAAACAGAGGATTTCCCAGACCTGACTGCTGTGCCCCAGCAGGTGGAAAAGCCCAGGGCTCTGAAAGCCCCTGCAAGAGGTAGCAATGAAACCCCAGTGTAGAAATCTACAAAGCTTCTGGCTAGCCAGTACAGGCAGCAGTGAGTGAGTGGTGTGTAAATGCTCTCAGTTACAGACCTGCAGAAAGCCTTGGGAGGCACAAGGTCTTAGTCAATTCTTGAAAGTTTTATCTCCAGCATTTTTCCTGTGGCTCTGGAGTTGCTGTTGGTTGCAAGTTTCATGACACCACTTATAGACAAGTTACTAACTGGGACCCTTCAATCCTGCATACCAAGCTTGGTTTGGCTTAATGTGGGCAAAGACAACGTTGGACACTGGCTTGTGTGCCCACATAAAAGTCTTCCCAATGACTGGTTGCTTCCCATCTTCTGAGACAGCTTTCCACACTGAATCAGCCAGGGCTGGTGATGAGAGAACTAAAGTGTGTCCATGTGGTTTTTCTTTTCTGCTTGAAAGAAAGGTTGCACTAAGAAGCACCTTGCAGAGTGATATAAGCAAGTGTTCTTCATCCTGTCTGAAAAGCCGCAACTCTGTCAGCTTTACCCTTCCAGAGTAACTCTCACTATTATCAACACCCTTTTTCTTTTGGTTTGCGGTGGAAAGGAGAAGGGTTCTTGAGAAAATGCTGCCCACTGAGGAAGTGCTGGTCATCTCTCTCAGATTCCAGAACCAGCTGAGAGAAACTGGCTGAGGAGCTAGAAGAGTTAGCAATCGAAAAATGACGATGACAACGATGATGATATCCAGGGTTGTCACTTCAAGTGTGTGTAAAAAAAAAAATGGACAACTGGCTTACTCATCGGTTAGGTTAGCAAAAGAGTATTCAGGTGGCTCACAAGAGATAAAACTTCCTCTATTGACACAGAACTTTGAGAACTCATGAGAGCTTGGAAATGCTCTAACTTTAACCTACATCTCTATCTCTTGGCCACTCTTCAACCCGATTGTTTGATGGGAGCTTTGTGAACCAAGCCTCATGGTAAGTGGTGGTGGGTTTGCTCCCGTGACCCAACTCCTCCTTGCCTCCTTTGCAGACTTGAACTTCACTTAATTCATGCTCATGATGGATCTGAAACATGTCTTTTACCTCTCGTTATTTATACTTGTGGGTCTTTGGTCTACAAGAGAAAAGTGTCACTGAAAATTTAGTTGCTAATAAGGAGCTATTACTGCCTATGTACCATTCATTCTGAATGAAGAGATTAGAAGGTCTGGAAATATGTGTGTTGTTATTGTTAGAGGCATAAGAATTCTGATTTTGATTTTTAAATCCAGAAACAGTAGAGGAGATGTCTTCAAAGAAAATTGTTTCAAACCAACTGGAATCTTTTTATTTCACAAAATTCCTCTTCAGGCATGTCATTTTTGTGTCATTTTTTTTAATGGCTTTATTAAGACACCATTAAAGGAAGTTAAAAAGTTGGAATTAATTTGTAACTCTAGGATCCATGGAGTGGAGAAAGAGATATCAAGGAAGATCTTCTAGCTCTGCAGGTGTGCATCCTATCTGGGTCCTGAGGTGCAATGTTTGATCTCTTCAGTTTTCGACTGTTAATCTGTGCAGTTATTCAAGATTCTAGAGACGAGATAGCTCATGGGGTAAAGGTACTTGCCAAATTGAAGACCCAAGTATGATCCCCAGAAACCACGTGGTGGAAGGAAAGAACTGACTCCTACAAGTTGTCTTCTGATCTCCACACACATATGCAATGTGTGCATACACACACACAGCCATAATGTATTCATGTTTTACAATGATGTGAGATTTCTATGACCACAACCCCACATTCCCCTGATCCACACAGGTCATGCTTAGATGAAGCCTAACTTGACTCTGAGGGAAAACTTTCTGAGACTGGAGCACCAATGAAGTCTGTAGCCACTGCCCTGTGACCTGGACTGTCTTACACTTAAGCTGGGTACCTCTATCATAAGCTCTTATGCACACTGAGACTCCCTGGAGGAGGCCCTAATGTGAAGGATAGTTAATGAAACAAGCCAATGCAGCATTTCTAGCTCACAGGTAAAAACACTTGCAGGTTAGCAGAGAGCACAGACTTTGGCCATCCTCAGATGAGTACTTGGTAAATTGGCCCAAGACACAGAAATTAACCCACCCATGGTAGACTTTTGCTTATCTACAAGTCTAGAAGCTTCTGTATGGTGATATCTCTCTCTCTCTCTCTCTCTCTCTCTCTCTCTCTCTCTCTCTCTCACACACACACACACACACACACACACATTCACACACACAAACATACACTCTCATATATACACCAATCTGTTCACTTATACAGCATGCATTTATTATCCCTTATTATATGCTAGGCAGCGTGCAAAATATTGGCTATTGCAACATGAAAGACAGGCATCCTCCTATTAGGCAATTCAGAGTTCAGTCAGCAATTCAGAAACTTCCATGAATAACAATTAGGCCTCTCAGATGCTGGTAAGGAAGGGAAATGATAAGGCTGGTAACCACGGTGTTTACATTCCTTCAGCATCTTTTTAAAAATGTATTTGTCTATTAGTACTTCTCTTGTCATCCATCTCTGCCTTCTCTGTCTGCGGCTGAGTTTCTTTCCTTTTAAATCTTTCATTACATATATACCAACTGGCTGCTAGGATGCTAAATTTAGTCCAACTGTTCTGTTCTTTCAAACGTCTTAGGAGCATGCCTTAAGAGCCTGCCTCTGGCCTTAAAGGGGAAATAAGAAAGTTTGCAGTTGGTTTCCAGCCCACGTTAAATGTGGATATGTATCTGAAAGAGAGTTTCTTGGCTACACTTGATGGTTTCCTTGGTTGTGGGGAAAGAACTACAGAGTATTCTGTCTGCTACCGATAGTAGTGAGCTCAAAAAAGAATGGAGTGGGGAGAAAAAAAATAAATGGATAGATAGGTACATAGACAGATACATAGATAGATACATAGATACATAGATACACACATAGATACATACATAGATACATACATAGATACATAGATACATACATAGATGGATCTGGAATGTATGCCAGTAACACTGGCTCTGTACCACCTAGCCTTTTAGCTTGGTGACTGGGAGCCTCCTACCAAGCACCCCCTATGCTACCATCCTCCTGGTAAACAATGCTGGAAAGACTAGGTTTCCTACCAATTTCTAAAATAGAAGCAGTACAGATGAAATAATGGCTGAGTTAATCACACCTTCACTCACACACTGCTGGCTCAGTGTGAGGAAAAGACAAACTGAACCCCTTTTTCCAGGGGCACATAGTCAGAGGCTGACAGTGTTTATTATAGTTATTGTACAGTGAATTTTCAGTGGATTTGTATAGAATGTCTCCTGAATAGGAGAGAACCCCTGACCACCACCTCCAAAGAGGAAGGTACACCATTTCTGGAAGACAGAGCTTACTGGTGCTTTGTTTTACACATCTCTTGCGCCATACTCCAGAGACGGAGCCTCCCTGAAAGACTTGCTGAAAGAATGAGAGACATTAAGAGTTTGTGTAAAACCCAGTACACAGGCTCATAAATGCCCCAGCCTTGATCATTGTCAAATGGGAGTGACCATTGTTCCCTGGAGGGTCTTCTGGGAGAGTAACAGGCAGCAACATACTTAGGCCTTGAATCACCCACCTCCTCAAGGGCCCAGAGAGAGTGGAAAAGTCATGTGGCTTTGTGCTGTAATAGTTCTAAGATTCATTTTAGCTGTAAGAATAAATTCTAGAAAAATAAATGTTTGAGATACCACAGTAGAACTGTTTAAGTGGCACCTCTAGCAATGCAGATATGGTGATGACCATGGAGATAGAATCGTGGGAGAAGCCAGCCCTGATGGTGCTGTCAGGCCTCCTACCTACCTTTCCTTATACTTTTGAGTTCTTTGAGAATTACATACAGTGTATTCTGATCCACTCTTATCCCCTTTCCCAATTTTGTGTCTCTCTTTCTCTTTTTAAAAATAACCTACTGAGCTCAATTTGTGCTCCAGATATACCTATTGGGTGTGGGGTGAGGGGAGGGAGCAGTCAATGGAATGCATTGGCTTCTTGCCCCAAAGTCATCAACTGTCAACAGCTCCTCAGTTAAGGGGTCAGGGGACATGAGTCCCTTCCCTGCTAGGGTGCTG